TCAATGTACCAATGACGACTTTATCGAACAGATTATTCTGCTCATCTTTCATCGCTTGTTAGTGAATAAAGCTTACAAGGACCGCGAAATTCTAAAAAAGCACCAGCTCCAGTCAAGTTCTGAGCTGAGACTATCAGTAACCGTGTAAACTAAAGGAATACTTTAACATGGTTGGTTATACTACTTATATTTCACGAGTAGGCAACGTTTACAGCAGCATGATTTAATCATCCAGTTGTGCATAATCTAATCTACAGACCCAGATCCACCATGACTGTCGCTTTGAAGCAGAAGAGTCGTCATGACATAATTGCAGAACCAGGCTGAGGCCGGCTTCGAATCGCTCGTTCCGTTTGGCCAAACCGGAGCCTCGTAGGCGTTGGTATTGGAGACATTTTGGGCAATTTGGTACATCCTCCGGTTTTGCGGCGACTACCGGTTTTTGCCAACCTGACGCACAGTCGATGGGCCGCAATCCGATTGGTCCGGCCTCGGGCTTCCCCATTCTGCCTGGCCGTCTTCCCCACTGTTTTGATGGTACCAGCCTCTCTCGCACCCCGTTTATGCTCGGCCAATTAATCGCCTGTGCCCCAACCCCACCTGCCCGAGCCAGGCTGAGTCGCTAGCGCTGCGAGTGACGACGACCCGGTACCACAACGTCAGTCTCACGTCTCCTCTACTCCCTTCTCCCACCGCCAACACACCCTTCTGGCTCTTATTGCCCTCCTCGGTCCGCCACCTCTCCTCCCCAGCCGCCATGGCGACCGGTTTAGTTGCTGGGCCGGACACTCCACTGCGGCCGAACGACATGCAACCAAGCCGTCCGGCCTGTGCCAGCCTCGATGAGGCAATAAGTTTTGAGCACGAGTGTGCCAGGATAGACAATCACAAAAACAGGTATGAAAGGACCCCTCTTCGCGCCAGCCTCTTCGTCACACTCGCCCCACCCCCGCCTGACCGATTTTTGTCTCTATCGCCTTTTGTGTTCAACCGCGAAATTGCATGTGCATAAACTGGTTG